GGGGGGGGGGGCACTGTGAGGCCCCACAGATATGCTCACTCAGCCTCTCAACTGAACTGGGGGGGGGGGGGAAAAAAAAGGAGACAGCAGCAGCCCTTCTGGGAGGGGGGGCGGGGAAGCCCCGGGTGCTTCTCTGCAAAGCTAACCTCTCCCTGCATCCCAGGGCAAAGGAATCGTCAGACCTGCCCCTGGCAGCCGGGGTGGGGGGGCGGTCTGACCTTGCCCCCAGGATGGGCCAGAACAGCTTCTCCAGCCCCATGCCTGGCTTTTCGGACGGTGGCCCAGTGGGTCTCTCTGGGGCTGGCTTTGGGCACACAAAAGCAGCCCCCAGCAGAGCGAGGGGCGAGGGCTCACCTGCGGCTGCCCCAGTCAGAGCGGCAGGATTGGGCCCAGGCAGGGGGCCATCTGCTGGGGAGGGTCCTGGCCAAGCCCCTTCCAGGCGAGGTGCGGGGGCACTGGAGACCCGGCTCGGCCGCGACCCGCGAGAGGCCCAGTCCATCTTGGCAGGCGGCTCCCCAAGGCCAAGGACGGCTGGGTGGGGCGGAGGGCACGGTGCCCCTGTGCAGGACTGCCCTCCACCTCGAGTCCCGCCTGGCGCATCCGCAGCGGGAAGGCTGGGGGCGCGAGGGGGCAGCCGCGGGGCCGGGGCGGGAGCTGGCCGAAGAGACGGAGCTGGGCCTTGTCTGGACTGGCGGTGGGGCTGCGGGAAGCCCACCTCCCGGGCCGGCCGCGGAGGCGGCCCCAGGCTGCGGAAGAGGAGAAGGGCGGCGGGGAGCGCTCCGCGTCCCCATCGCGCCTTCCTCCTCGCCGGCGGGCTGCGCCGAGAACTTCTCCATCCCGGCTGCGCGACGGACCTGCGAGGTCGACGCGGGCAGCGGCGGCCCGAGCGCGACGGGGCAGCCCTCTGGGCGCGGCGAGCCTCTTCGGCGAGGCTTCGGGCCAAGCGAGCGCCTCCGGCCGGGGCGCAGGGGCGTCCCGAGCGCCGGGCGGGCGGCCGCACGCGAGACTCCGCGCCTCGATCGCCCCTGCGGCGCGGCGCGGCGGCGC